CCACATCGATGCTACTGTATAAACACAGTGATAGTCTGACTGGATGTGGCTACAAAAAGAACAGTAAGTTGAAGAATAGAAAAATAAGTTGCTGTTGCCACAGTGTTGCCACTCATTTCATCATATAATTCACAACATTCGTGGAGAGTCTACTGACAAACAACAAAGATAATCACAATAAAATATGGAATACTTCATGGTGAGCGGGGTTTATTTGAATGGTTAGAGTGAATTACTGCGACTTGCGTGTGGACAGTGCACACTTCAAAGGCAGATACTGTCATTGACTCGGCTAGCTTGTTTCCATGTTTGCGCCAGCTCCAAAGCCCTTATAAAGTGAGACTATGTAACTTTTGAATGAGTCAATAACACGGTCTCACTCTTAGAGATAAAACAATTATATTCATAAGCAGTAAAACAAACTCTTTCCACTCAGTATACTCAAAGTTTGGATGTAACTAAGACTCCTGTCACACAGGCGTAGAGACCAGTTGGAGACCACTTGGCAACCATCAGTCACAGTGGAAAAAGGAGCAGTTTCAAACCAGGTGTGAGAGGATTCTGGATGTTGCTTGCCATCTCTGAAACTGATAGCAAAGTAGTATACGATGAGTAGATTGCTACAGTTGCCCTAAGTTTGCGTGACACTGACTTGTCTGCGTTTGCCGACTACTCGCCAAGAGGTTTTAAAACTGTAAAGAGTGCAACGCCTTCAAAGTAAAAGCTGCACCTTTTGAAACGTGTTGCTTCAGCCATAGATCGTATACAACACAGATGTAGCTCCTGTATGTCTTGAAAGACATACAGGCCAGCAACTGCTCACCAATTGATCAGAGTTTTTTTTTCTACAGCGATCAGTTTGCCAAGCGTTCACCGAGCAGTCTTTAGGCCTCTGTGACAAAGTGGCTAATGTTAGCTATTGCTAACGAACTTGCTGTGCGACTGACATTACTGAGTGTGTTTGCTAACTCTATGACTTGTGCTACTTCTAAACAACATTTTGTTTTAACCCTGAAGTTGTAGTAGGCAGAAATATGGATTTTTTTTTTTTAAAAAAAGAAAAAAGAAAAAGAAAGGGGGGGGGGGGTTGACAAAACAATTACAGAATAAAAAAAGAAAAAAGAAAAATCATCCCTCCTCCTGCCACTCTCCCCTCTCTCTTTCAAGCCCCACTAACAGGTCGAGCATAGGAATATGGTTGTATGTCACTCCCCTTCTGGTTTCACATTCCCCAACGTTAAGTCTCTGGCTTAGCCCATTGTACCACCTTATCCGCTGTTCTTCATCCTCGTCTTGTACTACTCACCCAATCTGGTCAGAAGTGGGAGAAGTTTGCCTTTAAGTCTTTTTGTAGTAGCACTTTGATATTGTTTCCGGTTACTGTTTAGTTGAGTAGTCGAGTAGATTTTAATTCATTAGATTTTAGTTAAAGCACTAAAGGAAAGCTCTCCCGTGTGTGATTTGGTCTGTAAGGACCTGTAGTTGATCAAAATTCTTTATCACAGGCATCACAAGCCCAGAGGAGATGCAGGAGTGAAGTTCTTTTTCAGATCATAAAAACTACGGATATATTTTTCTTTAAACACTTACTGCTGTTTAAACACCTGCCTACCCCTACTTTGGCAACAAAAGATTTTTCCTACCAAAAGTTACATAGTCTTAGGCTTTAAAAATGATAAGGACAAATCCTTGGTGGTCCCCTGTTTACCCCACTGTCTAATAACATGCTACTGTCAGGGTAACATGTTTGTCACAGAAAGTCATGATTTGGTTGATCTTTAAATAAATAAAATTTATTCCTTCAGTCAGGTAATACTGCACAGGGTCAGCTACAAGTCTTGTAGCCTGAGTAATGACAGTTTTATGACAGTCAAGTTGAATTCCAGTCATCTAGGTTACCAAGACTCCAGCACACAGCCACATAATGTCAGACAACACATTTATTTGTTTTCATCAAGGTTTCTTGTTTTTGTTTTTTTTTATCATCACGAAGGCATATACTATTTACTCTGTATATTATTTGTTTTGTATGTATGTATATGTATAAACAAAAATAAGCGTACATTTTTGCTGAATAAGAAGAATATCAGCAAAGGGCAATGTAAACCATGGTCCATCTAAAACAGGTGAAAGGTGCATTAGCTCACCCTTTCCCAACTCACCCACAGTAACAGATTTGCATAGGCAAAAATGGGATTAGCCCTTAGACAGTGGATTCCTGAATTCTTTATAGAGATGCAAAATCTAGTTCAGCTCAACACAAGTTCAAAACAAACACACATACAAACAAACAAACAGAAATATGTTGACTAGGCCAAACTCTCTTTAACCCCTCTGGTCATATACATAGTCATTTTCTGTGCACATTTTTGTTTACAGTGTTAGGCTTCAAGTAGATCTAAAAACAACTTTTACATTGACAACTAGATGTGAAATAAATTAACCAACATGAGAGGTAGTGAAAAGCCTACAGAGACGTTTGTTTTCTTTTTTATACAAAGAAAAAAAAAAACATGTCAGTAAGGCCAAAGCTTCGCAAACCTCCTCCATCCCGTTAGGACACTTCAGCTCTAGCTCGCAACCTTTATTTAATATTTTTCTTTATATATTTTTTACTCAATAAAACCATAGCCACATTTTAAAGACCCTCTCACTTGGAATCCATGGAAATTTAAAGACAAAAATCTAAACTTAGCGATGACAACTATATCACTTCACATCATCGTCATTGCTTGCAAAATCCACATTTAAAACGCAGGTATTAAAAATAAACAACTGTGTACTTCTCCCCGCTGTGTAAAAGTCACAATAAATTACGAGGAATGGACGCGAGCAGAAAACCTGGGTTTCTACCGTGTCTGTCCTCCTTGTAAAACGCTCCCAGTTTTAAACTCCAGCTTGCCCGTTAGCCCTGGGCAGAGACTCGCGCCAGCTTCAAACCTGCTGGCTGTTAGCTTCCCACAGTTACGAGTATTTAATAAGGTACACACATCTCACAATTTATAAATGTAAACTTGTTTTGATTGCACCATGATTTCAATATCTGGTTGTTGGTGAAACATTCTCATGTTACTTATATAGACTCTGAAAAAAACCTGCAAAAAAACAAGGAAATGTAGTTCTAGTGTGCAGAAGAGGGATGTGTCTGCATGAGAGCTTTATGAGTTAAAAAGTTCCAGAGTTGTCCAAATACAAATGTCTAAAATGCTTTCACTTTGTGAAAAGGTAAAACTGTTCCAAGGAGTGAGAGTGAAAGCTGATCTTGCGGTATCAGAATTGGTAAATTACTCTGTATTCCTCTGTTTCTGGTCAACTGGGCGCATGCATGCAGAACTCTTCATTAAAGCAGCCAAGCAATATCAGTTCAAGCCCTTATGGATATTCACATAGCCTGAATGTGAGTACTATATTGCCAAAGGTTAAACAAGAGTATATTTTTAATAAGGAACACTGAAAAACTGTGGCGTGGTTATTAGTTTCAACCTGTCTTCCTGACCATTATTCACAGCAGACAGCTTTTGTACTACTGTGACATCCTGTCTGTTTCTTTTGTTGAAATAAGTCTGGAGGAAACATCAAAATCCCAGGCTCCTGCAAAGGATTTTTTTTGTATTCATTCGTTTCCTTATTTAGTTTCTCCAACAAAACCTGAAGTTGCAGTTTAGAAACAGTGGCAACAAACAAAAACTTTATATCCTGAAAGGTGTTTATTAATTAACTTTCCGACAAGTGAGACAGAGCCTCAAATTGACATCCAATTGCATTTCAAAGGCCTGCTAGGCGTCGTGCAACATCCGCTCTTATAATTAATCTAGACCAAGCTTGGCACATGAATGTTAGGTACTTAAAGGAGCCAGAAACATGGATGCCGACATTAATCAGTGAGGAGTGGCACCGTTTCATTGACACTCTAAGATGTGGCACTACTCACCCAAACAAGCCAGGAGGTCAGCTACCTATCGAGTGCTGAATACACTCAGAGGCTCAGTTAATTACAAAAAAAAAAAAAAAAAAAAAAAAAAAAAAAAAAAAAAAAAGCATATACAGCACTCATGCACTGTCTATTGTACATCCACATGTTCATGTGGATGCACATGTTCATGTTCAAATGTTTACATCATTAAAAGAAAAAAATCATTTCATGTATTAAAAATGTTAATGGGAGGTTTGGCACAACCGCTTAAACTCTCCTCTTTTTTTCTCTGGTAAATGTGTCACTGTACCATAAACACACGGCCGTTACCGTAGCATGCTGTCAAAGTCTGATTAGAAAAACAAACCAGAGTGTGCGCGAGGGCTGGCAGTGGAGTAGAAAATTAGCATGGCTAGCACAAGCATGCTAACTGCTTGACTACAGCATGCTGAAACCTAGACGGCTAGTTGAAAAGGCGAGTGTGTAGCATGACTATGCAAGCTTCTTTTACTAGCCCCGTGTGCAAGCGTTGTTATTACCAACCCTCTTCACTAGCTCTGGTATGAAGAAACAAGCGTCTTGAACAGGCAGTAGCTAACTGAAGGACCACCACACGGCAGAAGGACCAAGGCTCCACAGCCTAGCGACCAGTACTGACGTCATCACGGCATCTCTGACATCGTGTTTGGGACCTGGTTCGGCGTAACTGCTTATAACAGGCATCCAATCTGCGGTTTTTAGCCACAACTAAAGCTAAAGCCTTACAGACAAAAGCCAGGGTTTGATAACCTTTTACATTACACCCGCGCCTGCAATTTCTGCTACTGTTCTTAAAGCAGAAGCGGCTTTCTATAATGCTCAAAAATTCACTGTAAAACACTACAAGGTAAGCCCTCTTTTTCTGCTCAAGAATTAAAAAAATTTAGATGATTATTTATTTGGATTCAATGTATTTTTTCGTCTGTTTGTTTTTCTCCAGCTGTGTTTTTTCCCCTAGACTGGGCACCTGTGCTTGTCAGGCCTTGATGGTCTGAACTGGAGGGAGGAGGAGGAGGAGGGAGGGAAACGAGGGTAAAAAAAAAAAAAAAAAAAAAAAAGGGGAGGTAGGGATTGGTGGACAAACTGTGGTTGCTTTCCAGAAAACCTGCAGCAGCACTTGTGCTGCCTTTTCCTGCATGTAAAGGCATTGTGATTTTCTCAGTGGAGAGATTTTTTTGTCTAAAGTTCATGAGTAATAATAATAGATGTAGCTGCCCAACCACAATTCTAGCCCTTCTCCCAGTTAACGAATCCTAAAGAAGGAAAGTGCTTGGATGGACGGATGGATTGGATGGACAGGTGGATAAATGGTAGGTGCTGCACGTGCTGCAGACACCTTCAAATCTCCTCAATAAAAATACTGCAGTAAGCCTAAAGATGTCAGAAGTTTACTTTTTCCCATCACTGGACACAGACAGCCAAACAGAGATACAGTCCTCCCCGCCCCCCTTAAATACCTCTTAATATTCAAAAACAGTTGCAGTCCGCGGCTTATATCATCAAGCGATCATAGTGAGAGAGAGTTGCATGCAGAGCCAGTGTGTCTACTGGTTAAAAGGGCAAGAAATGCCCTAAATCCCACCGACAGATAGATGTCATGTTTGGACAGTGAAGGAATGAAGAGCAAAATTAAATGAAAGACATCTGAGGAATGGGACAGACTTGAAAAAACTAAAAAGTTGTTAAAAATAATGAGTAAAGACAGAGAATATCACTAAGTAAGGGTAAAAAGCATGAGGTCTAAAATATTACAGTACAGGAACAGTGGGCTTGTCCTTTTTGTCTCTCTCTCTCGCACTCTGTTCCCACCTCCTAAGGAGTCTTTGTCCACAGTTAACCAACAGCGGGTCACTAGGTTGGCCATCTCAACTGATAGCTGATACGTGGGTTGGCCAGTCAACCATAACGAAAAGCACAAATTGCTAGCAAAACAATCACTGGCCAGCATTAATGGTCTAAAACTGACCAATAACCACCAGCAAAGGCTGACCCACCTCCAGCGGAGAACTGGATATAAATTGCTTAAAAAATATAAATAAAAAAAACTAACAACCAGCTATCTTGGATGTCACTCGGCCATTTCAACCAAAAAAGAGGGAGAGGTTTTTCCAAACCCGACTTCTGGCACCATAGTAGTATTTGAAGTTTAAGTAGTAGTCTTGTTGGCATTTGATGGCGATGATGGAGGCTGGAGGAGACTAGGTGTCGAGGCAGGTGCGCCTCCTGCTGGCCAGGAGGTCTCTGTAAACAGAGGAGTTGAGGAAACGGGGGAAGGAGTCCCGGTGCATCAGGGTGTAGATCTGGAGTTGGGCCTCCTCGTACATCAGGTTGCTCGGCTCCGCCAGGCTCTGGTTTATTCCTTCTCTGACCCGTGAGTCCAGACTCACCTCGGGTAAGGAGAACAAAATTAAGTAGAAGTGATGATCTGTGGTTTGTTGGGACAGGAAATGTGCTAAGGACTTCAACTTCTGCATTGAATCATGCACCACCCCAGAAAGGTAACCATAATGTTGCGACAGACTGCAACCACTACAATCAGTCTGGTTGGTAGAAATAACATAAACAACATACAGAGTTGTGTTAAATTATAGTATTTACATCAAACAAAAATGAAGTAGAGATACAAACACAACAACCAGCATGCTGCTAGCAGGTTTTTAAATGACAACGATTAAAGTTGTCACTCAAGATTAAGAAAATGCATAGACCCCTGTTAAATAAAGTGACTAGGTTCTCTGACTTTACTGTATAAAGACCAATCAGGCTTCTGAGTGTAGTCATACCACAAAGGGCCTTTCTGAGGCATTACAAACCTACCAATTTGAGTAAATGTAAAGTCAGTAAGCAAATAAGCACAAATAACCTGATTAAGCAGAACATCAAATCCAATGATAGATACGGACGTTACCAGAATGGATTCAGTACATTTTAATACCACAACTCTAAAAAATGTGATTGTACTTGCTTTGTTTTTTGGTACCATCAGTACCGTAGCCATGACATGGATTAGTTACTCATCTGCAATAGTCTCGTTTTTTTTTCTTCTCCCCCCCCCCCCCCCCCACACACACACACACACACACACACACACACACACACACAGCACTGCTGCAGACAGGGTAGTACACAGCCCCGCCCCTCACTAGCAGCTGAACAGATGAACAGCAGCACAACAAATGTGACGAGGCATCTAAAAGACTAACACCCCAGTCTTTATGAAGAATTTTGTGTTGTCATCAGCGTAACTGGTAACATTAGTTGTCTGTTAAGCTATGAAGCAGACAGGAAATGAAGCAGACATAAGTCTGCAACTAGAAGCTGTGGCACCCTACCTTACCAACTCTGATAAGCAAGGAAATATGGTGCCAAGTCACCAGAAGCCACAGGAAATAAACAGATGAATACATTTGCACGAACCAGTAATGATCTAATTATTATTATTATCATCATTTTTTTTAATAAAAAATGCTTAATTTTGTGATTTTTTTTTCCTAAGTGGCATCAGAAATAGAATTTTTCAGGGTGCTGGTGCCCAGTTTAAAATTTTAGTAATGTGAAACCCCAGCTAATAGATTAATTAAATGACACTGAGGAATGGCTAGAGGAACACCGATGTGCAGAATGTGCCAGCACTAGCCTATTCCACAGAGGCTTCACTCCTAAAGCACAGTAACCAACGGATCCTCTGCCAGAGTTACTGTTCCAGACACCACAGTATACCTGCAGAGCTCCCATATCCATGTGTAAAGACCATTTTTTGTTTTTCTTTTGCAAATGAGGAATCAATCCAACTTAAAACTATAGTTGTAAATCACATTAGCACATGTCTGCATAGTAAATCAGAAATAAGAAACCACTGCCATGAACTGTGTTTACAGTTTTAGTTCAGTGACTTCTCATGGCCACATTTTTAAATTAGTGATGAACCCTACACGAAGTCTAGCTATGGCTGATGGGAAATAAAGTAGTAGCTAAATGGAAAATTTATCTTGGGAATAGTAAAGTGGTCACACTTATTCCTGATAGCGACATGCATTCCTTGGAAATTGCCCTAACACAACTAGTGGAACGAGAAAAAAAGGAAAGCATCGGCAGTTTCATTAGGATTAATTACTGGAGACTACCAAAGCAATCCATACATGGGTTTCATAAATCAGGACTAAAGATGACCCTGAGGAAACAGGTTTGCCATTTAGTGCAAGGTCTTGATTTAAAGTGTTTCGGTTGCGTTCCTGTGGTGGCTCACCTCTTTGGGTGATAATATGGACACATAATCTTCATATATGATCCTGGCCTTCTCATCAACCGCTGTGGGATCCGTCTCCTTTTTCAGCTCTTCACAGGCCAACCAGAAAAGCAGGTTGTCCTCGCTGTACTCAGAACGCAGGAACTGCCTGAAAACCTCCCGGCCCTCCAGCGAGCGCAGCATCATTTCAAAGCTCCGTGCCCACGACAACACCTCCTCTAGGCTAGGGCGTCTACAGTAAAAAAAAAAGAAAAAAGACACACTTGTGTTAGATTGATAGAGACACACAAATGGGAGAATAGATAGCTGAACTCACTGTTCTTCAGTAGCTTCAATACTGTCCATCTTGGTGCAGGTCTGCCGTTCACTCCTCTCCATTCTGTCTTCATTCCTGGATCAAAGGAAGAAAGTATTATACTTGCCAAAATAAAAGCCTCAATATATGTCTATTAAAATGAGCATATTTCTTTAATATTTATGTATACACTTAGGGTCGTAACATTAAATTGACTGTGATAAACATGTCAGTGTTTTCTCTACCCCTGGATGGATTGGAGAAGGGAAAATCAATAATTCATGAATAATTTGTCATTTACATAATTTATGTGCCCTTTAATGGAGCAGAGGAGACACGTGAAGCTAATACAACATTACCTAAGTTGACTGCAAGTTATTAGATTACTGTTACTGTAATAAAAGCTTCCCAATAGGAACTAATCATCTGCTGCTGATAGCCAGGAAGCTAGTCCTACAATAGCAAAAAAAAAAAAAAAAATGATAACATTGTTTATTCAGGTCAAACTTGTCTAATATTATAATTAAAAGTGTTCATAGGGATCATTATGCTTAAAAAATGATTTCACTTTCACCAGCATGCTACAGAACAACAACAAAACTAAACTGAAACTGCAGGAAGGAAAGGCTCAGGTCGTGAGCCTTTCTCCTCCTTTTTTGGCTTTTCCCTTTAGGGGTCACCATAGCAGATCATCTGCCTCCATCTTCCTCTGTCCCACCAGCACCTCCTTCACTACATCCATGAATCTTTTCTGTAGTGCTCCTCCAACCAAGAAACGCCATCTTCAAAATCCTTTGTCCAGTCTATCTACCTAACCAAAGCACTGCTTCACTTCTTCCGCATTCTCTTCTTTACATCCAACCAACTTGATTTCTCCTCTCATAAAGGATCTTAAGAGTTAGCCAACAACATAAGCGTAGGAGACGCTGGAGTCAAATTTACTCGGTCAGCTACATAGAGCCAGATTTATTTGTAATCCTCTGTCTATTGTTCCATGGGTACACCAGCTGTCAAATAAACCAAAGCGCAGTGCTAAACCTGGGAATTGCTTCATAATGCACAGCATCAGGAGGCAAATAAATGGCAGCTAGAGGCTTATATCAATTATATCTAAACTGACAGCATGCTCCAGTAACTGTCAGCAAGCACAGCCGCTTTGGGTTAATAAACACTTGATATATTTTTGTGTCCCAGCATCTCACGCTGTCTAAACCGTCCTCTCAGTACAGCCCCAACCTTCACTCTCTACACATATCGTTTAAAATAGCAAAGAGCTACAAACAGTGCTGTATGAAAAGTGTATCTGCATGAGTCTGAAACTATTAAAAAGGAAACGGTTATGTGGGCTGTGTTTACTGTATGCCTTACTGTTCAGCGGTTGGGTAGACTTTCCTGCAGGCCTACATTTAAGTAAATTTGCACTGTGCAGTAGCACTGTGCAGAGGAGTGTAGATAAGAGAGATATGTGGTATAAATTTAGGAGCAGGACTTAGTAATAGCAGATAAAAAATTTAATAAATAAAAAAAAAAAAAAAGATTACCCCACCGGTCAGGACTCATGGACAAAAAGGCAGTAACACATTTAAAGATATCTCGTGTGTCAACTGAAATTTCTGCTTTCCACTACGATTACTGCAAGCTGCAGTTTTATACCATGAAGTCTCAAATGCATAACAGTGGCTTGGCAGACATTTTCTACTTCCTGCTTCTCACTAAGACACCACCTTGATAAAACCTGATAAAATGAAAGCAGCTCTGCTCTCTCAGCTGTTAATTTGTACTCTGTTAAAACAATAAAGCATCAGTTAAGGTCTTTATGCAAACACTCACGGTAGCCTCTGTGTCTATCGTAGCTCAGTCACACTTGCTGAGTCCACAATGCAACACACACTGAGCTGTCTATTTTTGTCCACACCATGGAGGATCTTTCCTTCCTCTTGCAGTCTCTTGTCAAAGTCCCCATTGTGCAGAAGTAATGGGCTAAGCTAGCCTCAGCCCCCTGGCGCCCTCACAATACTGCTAAATATACAGGCTGTTCCTCACAGCTGTTTTGCATGTGATGTGTGGTTGGAAATAGAAGGCACCCCTACCAGAATAGGGCCTTGTGTGAGGGTGGATGAGGAGGGGTTAAAGGGTAAGAGGTTGGGAGAAAATAAAAAGAAGATTAATACTTTCATACACCCCGATCCTCTAAAACGGCACAAGAGATTTCACAAACTCACACACGCCTCTACTTCTCGACTTGGCACGACTGCAAAAAAAGTGACACAGAGAGCAATATGTGCTTTACAAGCAGCTCGTATACTACTCTCAGCAGTGTCACACAGGCTGGACTAACGATCCCCGCCGGCCTCGACACTAAAATAAATAAACATATAGGGTTCTGAGGACAAATTTCCAGGCTCATTCTGGAGATCTGATATGAGCGTCTGACTGAAAAACACACAGTAGAGTCACAGTCCACAGGCTGCCACCACTTCAGATGAAGTGGTGTGAAAAAAGCAGCACATTCACCATTCACTGCCTGAAAACAATGTTTCATTCACTCCCCTCTCGCAGCAAGACTGGAGCCACAGCAAAGCAGCTATAGGAGCTGCGTACCAGCACCTGGCTTTGGTGCCTTGCTCGTGGGCAACATGGTACAGGAGGTTTTATTCTCTAAGGTGAAATCTGTATGTGACAGGATGCTGACTATTTTCTTTTTGGTTGTGTTGGATTCTGGTCCTTCAATCTGGGACAAATGCACATCATCAGTGTTTTTTAAACTTAATGTTTAAAATAAATAAATAATAATGAAAAAAAAAAATCACCAACCTTTACCAAAGTTGACCTTTTTTTAATTTTACAATCACACAACACTAAAAATTGACATTTTGGGAGAGAGATTTTTAGCCTTTTTGCATTTTTTTTTGTTTGTCAAGCCACTGACTAATACTTCCAGCTCTAATATTAATTATAGCTGAGCCACAATTGACCTGAACTTTTGAAACTGATACTCGGCTGAACTCAGCGACTCCCTGGAAACTCTGCTGGTTCCCCGAAATATCAAAACATATTTTTAACCTGTCTGTTTGTGCTCAGATTTTGGTGTAAGACATAGACAATTTAGAAATGGTGACAGATGACAGGTCCGAGCTTTAAAAAAATGCTCTCTAGCATTTATGTAAAGTCAAAATAATAGTTCTACTCTACTCTTCTACTCTCAACAAGAAAACAAACACACGCAAATCCCCAAATCTTGAGGTGTTTCTTCAGAGTTCATCGTGCACTTTGACGTAGCAGTCACAGCTTTCCTTCATTCCCCTGAAGCTAAAACAGTGAAAACTGTGTCAGTGTCCTGGCTATCCTTGTGTGTAACATCTGCACTGCTTTGTTAAAAATAATACAAATGATTTTCGTTTATGACTCATCTCCTTTTAACGGCGAGACAGAATGTCAACCAAAAACCCAGAAAACCAAACACATTTCATAAAAGTCAACTGCTTGTGTCATTATTATTATTAAATTTCCCACTCGTGGGATTAATAAAGGTATCTTATCTTATCCTTCATGTAAGATCTTGCCTTATGGGTATGGATGATCATGAGGAAGTAGATCAGCCCAAAACTACATGGGAGTAGCTTGTTAATGATCTGAAGGCAGTAAGCAACACCACTGATAACACACTATGCCGTAATGGACTGAAATCTCGCAGTGCCTGTAAGGTCTCCCCGCTTGAGAAGGCACATATACAGGCCCATCTTAAGGTGGCCAGTGAATGAAATGATTCAGGAAATGATTCAGAACAGGCTTGGGGGAAAGTGTTGTAGTCATATAAAACCAAAATTGAGCTTTTTGGCATCAACTTGTTTGGAGGAACAAAAATTCTGAGTAAACAACATCATCTCTACAGTCGAGCACGGAGGCGGAAACATTTGGATTAGGGGCTGTTTGTGTGCCAAGGGTACAGAATGACCTCATCGCATTGAGGGGCCAATAGACAGGTGCACGTCCAGGATGCAAATCTCCCATTCCATCAAATCACTAAGAACCTCTTTTTGATTAAGATCTAGTGACTGTGGAGGCCATTTGAGAAAAGTGAACTTATTGTCGTGTTCAAGAAACCGACAATAAGGATTTGAGGTTTGTAGAACGGTGCGTTATCCTGCTGGAAACAGCCATGATGGGTTCACTGTGTTCAGTTGGTAACAAGAGGAACAAAATACATTAAGATGTCCCCACCATAGAACCACCAGCAGCAGCCTCCCTGTGAATCCCTGATACAAGATCGGATGGTTGCATGCCTTCATTTATGCCAAATTCTGACCTTGCCATCTGAACGTTACAGCAGAAATCAAGACGGAGCATTTTTCTTCCAATTTTGTAGTCTCAATTTCTCTTTCTCAGTGGTAGCCCGATCTTCTGCTGCTGCAGCTCATTTGCTTCAATGTTTAACATGTTGTGCGTTAAGAGATGCTCTTCTGCATATTTTGGTTGTAAAAAGTGGCTATTGGATTTAGTTTTTTTACCGCCTATCAGCTCAATGTGGTCTGCCCATTATTCTCTAACCTCTAGTATTTTCACCCAGAGAAATGAGTTCTGTGGGATCAGTAAATCAGCAGTTTATGAAATACTCAGACCAGCCTGTCTGTCAGCAACCATGACTGTTCAAAGCCCCTTAAATCACCTTTCTTCCCCATTCTGATGCTCTGTTTGAACTTCAGCAGGTCATCCAGACCATGTCTAAATGCACTGTGCTTTTGAAAGGTGATTAGCTGATTAAAATCATCATTTTTTTAGGAAAAAAGATTCATGGACAGCATTGCTCTGCGGTCTCCCAGCACAGGGAGGACTCTGTTCACTGAGTGACAGAGTAGCAAGCTGCCGCAGTCAGTCTGCAGCCGTACACGGTATAAGAGAAAAAAAACTAAAAAGCAATCTGCTTCCAGTAATCCTCGTATATCTATATGCAGCACCACTGTTATCTTTAAGTTGTGCATATGGTGATTTTGCATGACAATGTTGTGTAGTGAATCAGAAACAGCCTGTTGCAGCTGATTACAACTCTGGAGCTCAAAATAACTCAGCAAAGCCAAAGATAGTTTAGGGGTGGCTGCCTGGTGATGAATTAAGTGGACAGCCTGTCTGCAACTAAAGACACTGAAATGCATTAAATTCCAAAAGCTTGGTTTGCATGCTCGTCTAAACCTGCTAATCTTTATTCCCGAGGGCTTAGGTAACCAATGATGGACAATTTACATCATGTCAGCACTGGTGAGACACAATAATGAGACATTAAAAAAAATAAAATAAAATAACTAAAAAGAAAGAAAATTCAAGGAATAAATGTACATTTATTTTCTGTTTTTGCTGGTCAGTCCCCGGTTTTGTGTTGCCATTAAAAATCATAATTCATTCAGCTGAGGTAAAACTCAGTATCAGTGCAATATCACAGATTGGGCAACGGGATTAAGGGCAGGACAACTGTTTATTATTTCAGGTACCAGGGCTGCATTTTAATCTCTTAAGGCTCACACTATTAAAAATGCCTACACTGTTCAAAATAACAGCACAACACAAAAATGAAGAAACCATTAAGAAAAATAAATAATTTGTCAACTAGCTGCCTAATCACACAATGCTAAAATGCTGTTTGCATTATTGTATGATCAATTCAGACACTGGTTTTGTTCAGTGGTTCCTTTGGGCCTCTTTTGCAAAGGATAAAATCAGATCCTGCTAATCTAAAGCAAAACAGACTGCAGTTATTTATTCTGCTTGTCTGTGCTGCCAACTTATTGCTATGCAACTTTAACTGGCAATAACGGATTTTTTGGCCTCTTCAGGGCTGCAGAGGAACAACAATGACATAACCACCAGACAGCATGACATTGTCAGCACAAAGGTGTTTATTCTAATCATTTATTTAGAGCTACTTAGTGAATAACGTTCTTTGTTTCAGTTCTATGTTGGTCTCCACCTGCCATTTTAGCTGATAAACGCTACCAGCTAGTACCTAACTTGCTTTTTGGTGTTAGTCAGGAAGTATAGGTGCTCAATCACTGCAAGTGACACATTTTGCTTTGTTTTCACAGTTCAATTTAATAAACTGCTAAAAAAAACAACAACCAACAAACAGCTGTGTGAGTAGTTATGGTTAGCATGAGATTATGACTTATTTTCCAAAAACATGTTGTGTGAGCGACCTTTACTGGGTGTTTCTGAAGTGAAACCACAACATCCTTGACCTTTGATCGCAAAAATGTAACCAGTTCATCCTCAGGTCTTTGGCCTAGTTTTGGTTGTGGCTGCACAGCCCTGGTTTTATTATACACAATGACATAGGTTCAAAGTTAGCCGTTGTGGCTAAAGATATCCTGCAACATTACAGCCACAATGAACCGCGTGCGCCGATGAGCCAATGGGAGTCCAGCGTGAGTTGCCATGCCAATTGTTTCAACAGTGGGGGAAAAAACAAAACCAAATAATGGAAGTAAAATGTGCAAAACAAACATGTTTACAAACTCTACCCTCTGGCGGTCATCACGGGCGAGCAGTAGAAACAAACAGCCGTGTGGGCTGTTTCTGCGGGCATCGTCTTTGCACCGTTTACATGCATCAAACTTGATGGCTGACTCAAGTTTACCAGGCCCATGTCACGCACTGTGGTTTGCAATTAACTGATAAGGTTGCTAAAAAGCACATGGTGCGCAGGAGACTTTTGTGCAAAAACTTGAAAAATATTCTCTCAAGGCACCCCTGAGATACTGCACTCACGTGAAGGATGGACAAACAAACAGAATACAACACTGGTGCTGCTTAAAAACTAATAAAGTATAGCATAATATTAGCATGGACTAGTTTTGTTAGTACAGCTTTGCATTTTCTTACCAGAGACACTTGCAGCAGCCACACCAGCAGAGGCAGCAGGTGTTGGGTCGGGGCTGTCCAGGGGCCTGGGGTGGGGCCTCAATATGAGCCGCCTGCCTTTTTCTCATCTCCACTCCACTCACACTCCGGGGCTTCACCGTAAAGAGGACGAGAACGTGCAGTTAAACATCTTATACATTCAGATGTTACAGTAGATGAGGAAACAAAACAGAAACTGTGCGACAGGTGAATTTATGTGCAGGGGAGAGAGGAAGAGCACTCAGGCAGGACAGTACAGGAACTTCCCTTCTTCATACGTTGCGAGAGTTTCTGGCACTGAGCCAAGTCTTTCACTCACCTTTGACAGAAACTACAAATTAATTTTAACCAACACAGAAAAACAGGATCTGCGTGTCACAAACACAGACAAGCAGGCACAAATTCATGAGAATTCATACCAACTCACTCAGGTTTTGTACATACGTTATGTGCAATGATGCATGACGTCAACCTAAAAAGTTATTGCGATCTTTTGCTTTGAAATGACAATAATGTACGATACCATTACAGGTTTCTCTCCTGCTAATTCCTTCATGTTTGATTCCTCGCACATGCTGGACCAAAAACTTCTTGATCCACGACAGCTACAGTTTGACAGGCTCCAGCCTAAAACACTCACACTGGTGCTCAAGTATCCTGGGAGCACCAACGCCATTTAAAGACGTTATCGTATCAGGAACATAAATGTCCAGATGATTTGCTGTGCAACAAACCAACGATATCCTAGAACAACTACACGTGTAGTGTTTGCCTGCACTCTCCTTGTTGCTTCAAACAGATTTTCACTCACTATTAAAGATTCTGAAGACTAAAAACCAAAACCCCCTCTGTCAGGTCTTGGATAGTCAGACAAAGGTCATTCAAAGTGTAAAGCAAAACTACGCCCATTGTATTATTAGCATAGTCTAACATAAATAACATTTGGTGTTATTGTATCTCACTGGGGAAAACATCTTGCAGTAATGAAATTGCTGATCAATCATTGCCTCAATCAATGTGATGAATCAGGAGTCAATGAAAAAAATCTTAGAGGTATTCTGTGTTTGTTTTATCAAACTGTCTAACACCAGAAAGAAACTGAGAAACCAAGTCCGATATTGCTCTAAAGGTGCACAGGGAGAAATCAGTTGTCATAATTTTGTAAAACATCCGTCAGCCACTTCAAAAATCACTATAATTGGATATCCAGTAAGCACAGCGCAGTGTTCACTGATTGAATTGGAAACTTTTGCAAAGGTTTTGTGGGCTATTTCTTTGCCGCTGCAGCTACAGCTACTTTAAGCGATGCCTAAAAATAGCCATGAGAAACAAAAATGTGCAGCTAGCAATTTTGTAGTCACACTCTGTTCTCCTTTAATTAAAGCCATCTTGGAGAGTGCTTTCCTCTCAGTAACAGCGGAATAAAAATATGGTGGCTACCTCTCTGTGACTGAATGAAAAAGAAATATTAATAATGAAATAAAATAAATAAATCGGTGGTTGCCCAGAGATTGCACTGAATTCTTCTGCTGTGGAAGACTGACTGCAAGTAGTTGCAGTGACCAGCGCAATACTGTCAACTTCACCTCATGCACAGGTCTCCAAAGTCCAACTTGGACTGACTGCAATCATTCTTAGAAAGATTGGCAGAAGTTTCTGTTTCAAATCTGTGAGGTTTTGAATTTAAATTTCTGTGGATGCAGAATTGGAGAAATAAAATCACTTTTACCGGTAGCAGCGACGAAAATTTATCTGGTGTGTCTCATCAGTTTTGCATAGGCAAACGAAAGCATGCGAATACTGGAAAAATGTTAGCAGTTATTCTTACAGTCATGATTTCTTTACTAATGTGCCACAACATGGGGAAAAAATTAATAAATAAAAAAAAAAGTACAAATACATGGGGATTGCCATGAGTCTACAAAATTACACTATAGACTAGTCAGTGGGCTCCTCCATGTCTCTTCTGAACATATCTGATTTGCCAGTAAGATATTCCAGAGGAAAATTGCAGCTCTTTAATAGGAATTATGCAAATTTTGGGGTTAGAGGTGTTTATTTTTAGACAGTTTTTTAAGGACTCTTTTTTTGAGAAGGCCATTCTCAAATTCCATTATCTAGAAAAGTACCTAAACTTATTCCTTCAAAATTCTTTGGGTAAATATCTTGTACTACGGCTCTATACACACAGACTTTCAGGGGTGTAGCTCATGTTAACACAGAATGATGAATCTGTAGGTGTGTAGAAACCACAGTTTTGCAGATAGAGGACTGACATTTTGTTCGCATCTTCTCATATTCATTGCACATAACTTTCTTTAAAACAGTCTAAAATGAGGAGAATGGTTTCACAGATAAAACCTGGATATGGTGGGAAAAAAATTCATCCTACCCTAGTGTGATACCCCAGGTATGACTGACGCCATGTACGAAATCCAAATCAACTTGTTTAGAAACAAGAAGTTTCCCTTATTATATCTAAAACTTCACCTACTCTTATGACCCTTATGCTATTTATAGGTTTACTTGGTGAGCTTATTATACTGGGAAAACCCTTACCTCACAGTGCCATAAGCTTTAACCGTAACGTAAAGCTCAGCTGCAAACATATACAACTAGAAATGCTAGAAAGATCAGCCACGAGGATGTCAAAACTTTAGCTTTAAAGTTTTATGCATTTACTTAGCTGGGAGGGTCTAATCAAATGCAGTATGAGAATTAAAAGTATACTGACTGAAAAAGCACTCCTACCTGTAATGTCATGGTTCAAATTAAAATCTTTTCATAAAAAATGTGAAAATCCAAATTTAAAAAAAAAAAAGAAGAAAAATATAACTAATTTTCTTCTTTTTTGTTCCCTCTACTCTACAGACGGATAATTTGCTTCAATGAAGAAACATGGAAGGTACGGCTAAAAAGACAAGCCCGATATGCAAATGCTGTCGTCCGTCCAGCGGAGCAGCCATCGGTTATTTAGCAACTGGGCGGCTACCGTGGAAAAACAGGCTGTTAGACGTAAACCACAGAGAGGGTATGGCTTTGTTCCAAAGCCAAAGAAGGAGGATGCACTGACATGTCATGCAAATGGGGTGGAAATACTAACACAATAACATCAGAGGGCAAAGAAAAAAAAAAACAGATGAAAAAGATAGCTACAAGATCTGTCATACATGCAGTACATTTTTGCAAATACTAAAATAATACCAAAATAGAGGACGCCATATTAACCAAAACAATCATCATCCAAAAGTCCAACTTGACGTTGAAGCTTCCACTCTGCTTCACCATCAGGCAGTTTTTCACGAGAGCGATGCAAATGAAACTAGCGTCCTATTTCACAAATTAGTGCCACATGTAAAACGCCAGAAACATTTGCACCTTGTGCAGACTTTGACCTCGCATCAGCGCAAGCAGCGTTTGCTTTGATGAGGCACTAAGTGCAAAAAGTAAAAGAACAGAATAATGACGTCACCGTGGCACGTAAGTCGCAGCCTGCCTCCATTCTCACTTTGTTGTGGTAGGGAAAATGGTTAATAGCGTTTTCTTTACAAAAAGACAAAAACAAATAAACCGTTTGTTGAGAAACTGTGTGAGAAAAAGCATCTTACCATTAGTTATCTGAACACAAATTATTTCTAACTCTGAGTTAACAACACCTCGTTTTCAAAGATAAAGAACGTCCTTTCAAGGTGACAGATCATTTTCCATTCATGGCTAATAACCGACTGATATCAAGCACTATATACAAATAACCGGTGGGTTGCTTTGTTTCACTTCCATGAAGAAAAGACTTTTACTAAGCAACATTTAAATTCATGTCCATTCTGAGAATTACAAATGAAAATGAAAACTTCAACTTTAAAATCGAGAAGTAAAAGCCAGTCACCCTTTGCTGCCGACTCATTATCTTACACGATCTGGCAGATGTTGCTTGGTCCGTCAACCTCCAGGACCACAACTGCAAACTTTGGTTATGAACATGAACATATGACTTTTCATTTTGACCCCTTAACCAAAGCATTTGACTTTATATTTCACACAAATTTGGATCCTCACTGTGACAGTAAACTTGAAAATACAAGTTCAGTTTCTGTAAAATAAATAAATAAAAAACAATCTAAATATATTAATTAAATTACTGGGAAAGCGTGAAACTTACCATGAATTAGTGAGTTCCTAAACACAGGTCAGACAGAGCAGTCATGGCATGAGGTAATAGGTTGCTGGATGCTAGCAGGCTGGTTGACGAAGTGACTGACTGGGGGACTGTCTGAGCGTCTTTCTGACTTGCAGGAGATTTGGGGCAAGGCGAGGAGGTTCTTTTCACCACAGGGCAGAGAGGTTACTGGTATCACCATCCCTGACCAACTGGCACAGAAAGGGACACGAGAGCTGAGATGAAATGCGACCACTTCCTCCCCTCGTTTCCTTACTTCACTCGCTACTTCTGCTTCTCTCACCAACACCTCCTAAGCTTCCTCAGAACTCTGTGAAAGGGTCATTTATGGACTTGAGGGTGTAGGGAGCATTCAAAGTGCAGCATCTGTAAAACACAGAACGTGAACAAAAAGAAAACACCATGAAACACAGAAGTTGACTTTAAGTGAAAATGATCAGTCAGGAGAAATATATCCTGCAACGACAAGAAGACAGAAGCAGATACGAGCAAATGCGACACAGAGCAGAACCTCATTTTCATCCATCTAGATTAGGTGTAGATGCCCAGTTGCCCAGTTTTGGAGTTATAAGTGGTAAAGATATCTACTCTTACTTGTCTACGTGTGCTCAATTGGCAAAGATTGCAGCAGAGAAACTAAGCAGCAATGCCCTTTTCTAGAAACTACGATCTGGTTATTCATGTTTCTTGTTGTAGAACTCTTTTCTTTCTACTATCTACACGCACCGGCCAAAATAGGTATGAAACTGCCTAACATTTGAGCTCAGCTCAGCTGAGTTTATATCCTGTCACATCCTGTGTCGTTGCCAGGTGTAGTTCAAAAGAAAAACAGTTGCTGCATAAACCTGTGAACACCGGGACTTTTTCAGTCACCGGGCTTTGATTTCTAAAAAAAGATATTGTGTTTTTATTTTTTCAATGTAGTGCCCATTGAAGAACCATGAGGAAGGTGCCAATTATTTACATTAAATTCAAGACAAAGGTAGGCATTTCTTCAGCCAAAACCTCCCAAACTGAGCAGCTCACACCAAAGTAGTCTAGATAGATAAGCAGCACTACAGCCATAGGACAATGTAAAAATTTGCATTTAATTTGGGAATGGACTGTATTTTAATATACAATCAATACATGAGAGGGGTTAACGATGACAAAGATCTACTGGTTAATGAGGAAGTCGACTATGTGAAAAAGCTAGCATATTCATCTGTATTGAAAACTAGGGCTGCCACGATTTGTCGACTAGTCACGATTACGTCGTCGACGACTGATTTAATAGTCGACGCGTCGTTTGAAGCTTTGTAAGATCGCAAAAGACGCAGGAATAATAGCAGGATTTAAGAGCGTTTCTTTGTCGGTTAATTTACGTTTTCTTACCTTCGTAGTTGTGTATATATGATGCAGCATATAACTTAAATCCTTTATCTAATTTGCTGGCGGGGGTAGTCCGTCACTCTGCAAATCCGATGAACATCGGTGATGTTCAATTTTGGGAGCTCTTGTAGGCATCGAGTGTAGAACGTCGCCATGGTTTAACCGCACCGGAAGCACTGGAGCAGGACTACATAGAACGCGGAAGTGTTAGTGCAAGTAGCGGTAGCTAGTTAGTTTTAATATTACTCTTATTATTCTTTCTGGGTCACAAAATAAACGTTTAACATATTTTCAGGCGAGAATGTAGCTGTGTAAACCTCAAATATCGGCTCAGTTTATCAGGACACCACATATTTTCAAAAGCGCTCCGACGTTTTCGGACTAGCTCGATAGCTAGCCGGGGGCTAGGTCACTAGCGCCGTGAGAACACCGGACTCCCGGCAAATTGTTTTCAAACCCACCGCCGTCTTTCGCGACTCAGGTTAAATATATATGAGTCACTTAGATAAATTAAAAATGTTGTTGTTTGGCTTTTTTTTTTTTTTTTTTTTTTTTTTGTATTTTATTTGTTCCTGAGTAAATCGGTTTGGCTGAGATTAAAGTTATAGTTTTTACACAGCTGAATAAACGTCAAGCAGACAGCTGATTATCAGAAGTGTGAGATGCTGGAGAATATTCTCCGGTGTCCTGTTATATTTTAGATAGCAAGGAGTTTATTAAACTTTACCGAAACAATCTGCAAATTTCATTAAAATTGAATAAACTATCATCTTGTCTTTATTTTTAGTTAGCACCTTAAAAGCTTACAGCTGTAAGCTAATGATAGTTATATAAGAGCAGATGCTGCTGGTGCAATAAGCTGTAGTTTTACGTCCAGTGGATGATGATCTGATTAGTCGACTAATCGCATAAATAATCGGTGACTAGTCGACTATCAAAATAATCGTTTGTGGCAGCCCTATTGAAAACAGACATCAGCTGAAGCTGTACTTTTCCTCTGACGCCTTTGTGCAACAGCTTCCTCTTCTCAGCCACCAACACAGACGCTGATACCATAATACTTTACTTGTGATAAGCTAAAGGATGTGGTTAGAATAAGACCAGTTCAACCAGGAAATGCAGTAAATGGCAAATGATGCTGCGAATGCTTATCTTAAACATTTATGGTGCAAAGCATTAAGCTCACTGGCACTGCAACCCAACACTCAATCAATGTCAAAAGCCATATGCTGGATTTTGGCCCTGAGAGAGGCTGCTGTGTCTCCTAGATAGCCCTCATGCTCCATGTTCTTCATGCAGGAATTAGTGCTCCAACACCGTGCTTACTCATAACAGCAGCTTAGAGGTGTTCGCATGGTGACCTTAACACTATTGCAAATTATCAGCAGTCTGCAACTTAGAGTGTAAAATTAGCATATACAAAAAAAAGAAGATAAAGATAATATCTAATATTGAAAAGACTTACCAAACAAACTAAACATCTTCAGTTACAGTGGGTTAGCAGCCTTATCAGCTCTGATCTACAGTCCCTCACCCACCCTTGCCTATACATGGCTCATTTCCTCCACAGTGATGTCTAGCAAGATAAAGAGCAGCACAAAGAAAAAAAAAAAAAAAAGAAAAAAAAATCGAGGTTCACATGTCACTACCATCCCTCCCATATGACACAACATGCTGTCTCAATACTGCTCTACTGTAAAAGCAACGTGAGGGGAGCATCAACATCCGTTCATGCCAGTTTAAACTGGTTTGAAAACAATAGTTTCCCTTGTATATTAAGAATCTATGACAAATTATTTTGCACAGCAGCTTGTTAAGATCAGGCTTTTTCATTGTACTTGTGAGTTTGCTTATTCCTGTTGTGAAGATGATCACCAACTTTAGTGATGTGCTTCCTGAATGAAATGAAGAAAATGACTATGGGAAATGTTTACGACAAAGCTCGGCCCGGTTTGGAATTTGGAGACTGATGCCCCTGATAATCCACGTGAGTGAAAAAAATTCCAATATGGCTAAATCATCCCGGGATAAAACTGCACAGGAATGGCTTTCGAAACACAACAAAGAGCCCAATCTGTGCGCTTTGTTACTGATGACGTATCGAGCCTTTTTCCGGGTCCAAGCCTCTACTGCATAGAGAGCGCTGTCAGTGTTGAAATGCTGCAGTAACACCTCCCTTGATGTTTTTGAATTGGCATGAGCTGTAAAAAGTTGTTTGGTTATTATCCTTATTCTTCTGTACAGCTTTCTGTCTTTTTAAATAGCACTATTCATATACAAGACACCTTTAAGCTACGTTTTGTACAGTACCGATATATTCAGACATTGCTGAGATTTTGGTAGGGAATAATTTAGAACAATCCCACAAAATACTCATTACTAACCTTGTTTTGTGGATGATGTCACCTTATACCTTAAATTAATTTGTGTCTGCTGACTGGGCACCTACAGGTTTGATATGTCAATGAGAGCCCTACAAAGTCATAAAACCTCCCAAATACTTTGCCAGCGCTGCTCTTTTTATATCAGCTTACCGTAGTTGGTCTGAAGCCAGCCTTGGGGCGGGAGGCTAACAACTAGCCTAATTTCACCAACCCTTTGAAACTTCACCAGCACTTTGTTTTTCATCTTTTCATCTAGAATTCATGTAAACTGCTTCTGAATTTTAAATTCACTCAATCTCGCAAACATTTTTAATTGTTTAAAACTGATTGGGACATCTAGAAGAAGAAATACATTGATTGCTTTATTAGTGTTTAAAGAAAAAAAACAAAAACCCAACAACAACAACAACAACAACAACTGGTGCCTAAATGCTAATTCGCTATTGGGAACTAAAGAAGCTTTTGGTTGCAGAAATTAATAAGTATTCTACACTTAGCAAGAGGATTGACTTGGCTATCAAACTCCCTAAACAACCTTCAAATTAAACATTCACAAAACTCAACGGAGCCCCTGAAAAAAAAAAAAAAAATCTGCTTTCAACCCTGTCAGACAACATCACAAACAAAAAGAGCTGCTCTGCTACATGTGCTGCAGACAGTCTAAAAATGACATTAGAGCTGCTCTTTTGGACACTACATGCTAACCTTATTTGTAAATTAATCTTCAAATGCTTTAAAAAAAATGTATGGCTTGTTAACTATATCTATATCTATCTATCTATATATATATGAGAAAGGACATATCACTGAATGCTTTTAGGGATCAATTTAAATGTCGATACTGGTGCCACCGAGTTTCACTGCTTTCAAGAATAAAAGTTGCCATCCTAGAAGCAAATAACATCAGATGCTGATAGGTCAGCTTGCATTCTGTTAGACCTCTTTGAATGAAGAGTACAGGCCTAATGAGATTAATCAGGAAGTCTCTCAGGATGCAGTTGCAACATAACCTGGGCTCCTCTGACTCAACACACCCATGGGAAACTGCAGTGATGGTGCTGCTACAGCTGTGCACTGCATGATCTCTTAACAGTGTATTACATTAGATAAATAACACACACAAAATGCACTCCCGAGTGAGAAAGTTAACAGGACAGTCGCAGAACGGAATCTTTTGAATCTCCCTGAAGGCCTGTGCATATCTTCAGATATGAAGAAGGCAATCTCATCAGACCTTGCTCTCACCCTCTGTACACTAGCTCTGCTGGCTAGCTGCTCGGCTGGTTTGTTTTGCATGGTTGTCTCCTGCAGCTGCAAGAACCATCTGAGCAGAGTCGCTGCAGGTCCGACCAGCCGGCCGGCAGAGGGGATCCCCTCGCAGCTGACACCACCGACGGCTAACGCAGTCAGAGAGGGGGCTCCACAGCGCTGTCAGCCGCACAGACATTTTACAGAAATCAAACACCACCCACTTTCTTCTCGCTAGCTTTAGCAGTCAGCCTGAGATCGGCTATCTCTCGCAGGGAGAGGAGGCGGTGGCAGCTGAGCAGCAGCTAGCGCCGTGCTAACGTCAGCTAGCCAACCCGTGTGGACCCTTAGCGCAGAATAATCACCACCTTACCCCTTTGCGGTGGGCTGTCAGTGTCCTAGGATGATAGGTGTGAAAAAGCGACGTCCCGATGCTTATTTAAAGACATCGTAAATTGGAATCCCGCGGTGTAAAGTCCATCGCCGCTGTTTTTCTGCCATCCGCCCCACTTCAGCACCGAACGCCGCCGAGCCCCTGGATGCACTGCGCAGGCGCGCTGCCACCGCCGCTCTGTGCCCGCAGTTGGTGAGAAGATGCACTGCCGAGGCTGCACACAGTCCGGTCACAGAGGATCATTATCACAGCTGTGCTGCTGCACAACTGAAGACGCCCAGTTTGCTTTAAAAACAATGCTGTATTGGCTTTGGTCAGTATCCTAAACACAAGCGAGCACACTTTCGGAAAGCCAGTCAGCCGGTAATAAAGTTAGAAGGCCACCATTCATACAAGAGGAAATGTGTCCCCGGGTTATAAACTCGTAAAAATGAACCATAAACTATCTCACATACAGACTGTCCTGATGTTAAAACAGTTTCCGCAAGAAACAGTTGCTGCACTAAAACAGAAATGGGAACAACGTTTTGCATTATTTCTCTCGTCTCAGCATAAAGCCCCATGCATTGTTAAAGCTTATCAGTGAGATTACACCGACTTCATGAAGCATATGTGTTTAGCACTTTTACAGTGTTAACACAGTATGATGATCATATTATGCTTTACATACATATGCAGACAACAAGATGCTTAAAATACGCACTTTTAAGATACAGCTTGAATACTTCTTAAATAATGCTCAGGTGAGTTTAAAGAAAGACATCTTTAAAATGTAATACATAAACACATAGTGAGGTTTTCTAAACATACATCAATGAAAAAATATACTATATTTTATATAATATATAAAATATATAGAATCGATTTATTCTGTTAATCGCAAGCTTTCCCTGTATTTCTGATTTAGTGTCACAGATTATTTTAATTGTGTTTAATTGATATTTCCCTCATCACCGTGCAGCCTGTAGAATGCAGGCGCAATCTAGTAAATCTCAGTTTTTGGCAGTAAATATATTTTCCACTTCCACCACACGGGGGCACCACAGCTCTGCTCTGCTTTCTCTCTCTAACACACTCGGTCTTTCTCTCTCTCTTTCTCTCAAACACACACATATGCACACAAACACCTGTTCTGATGCGATGTGCCTCCCTATATGTGTGAACGGAAATGGCAGGAAACATTATTGCTGCTACAGTGACGATTATAGGCTTTGAGCAGACAAATAACTCATTATATGTGCGCGAAATAACAACCCGCTGTGCATAAAGAAGAAACACTTAAGTGAGCTCTGCATGGAAATTGTTCCAGGACTGATGGATTGTGCATTTACTCTCTGGCAGGCCTCCATCTTTATACATCTGATGCACTCAGTGTTTAGTTGTGAGGAACTGTGGTTCTCCAGAGGGACAATTACGAAAAGGTCATGGCTGGGAGGCTAAGATGGAAGATGGGAATGTTCCTTGACACCATTTGCTCATTAATAGGGATTTGAAGAGGCCTGGATCAACTCCTGTTTTCTTCACGTGCTGAGAGTGATTGCACTGATTTGCATGTGAAAAGGTCAAGAGCCACAAAAGCACCATTCTGCTTCATCGTGGCAAATCTCGAACATGCAGCAGTGAATTTTCTGGCATAGATAGTCGGAAGACAAGCGTGCATGTCCTTAGCTGACGAACATCCAAGCACAGACGTGTTTGTGCATTTTTATTTATATACCTCACGAGCAATGAATAATTAGGCAAAAAGTGACTCTGCAAACATCTGTTTGGTTTTTCAGAGATAAACAAGAGGGAAAGAAGATTAACCTTTGAGTAACCCGGATGGGTCATTTATGACCCCAGCTGTATATTTATATGTGCCACTGTGATATTTAAAATCATAACAATACTTCAAAGAAACAGTCAACTTTTTTTTTTTTGGCCCACCAGTGTTGCAAAGACAAGGGAAAGCTATTTGGGATCTCTGTATCTGAGGTATCTGTATGTTTTATTTATTTTATTTTATTTATTTTTTACATCATAGGCTGTAATTGTATTTTAGCTTTCTAATCACTACATTGCAATGTTTTGTGGCTTGCCATGGCTACTAGACCTAGAACAAGCTTCAGTGAGATCCAGGAGTACATGGGGTTTGAAAGCCAAGCAAACAGAGCAGACAGGCACATCATGGACAACCTTGCTGCTTTAAGGGATATCTGAACAATGTGTGCGGCCCATTTACCCAAATGATATATTCCTGGTAGGATAAAGAAGTTGTCTATTAGAGGGAGATACGGTATCAGACGATAGCCTCTTTGTTTCAGCTGAGTATGACACCACATATCTGGTGGATCTGTGATGCAAAAATGATTTTAAAGCACAAGTTATTTGGATTAGAATATTTTTAAATGTGTATCAAAGATAAAGGAAACAGTGTAGGCACAATAAACACAAATAGAGACATTAAAATATAATGAATAAATTTTTGGCACTAAAATACTGTGGTTACTTGTTAAGGAGGCTATACACTTCAACAAAAGTGTGGGATTATTGCAGAGCTCTTCCTGCTTCTTTTTTACATCATAATTATGCTTTGTGCAACATTTTCTGTGACTTTGAAAAAAGATCATTCATTCTTTGCAAAACTAGTTTTGTGACTCCATGAGTGTGAGTTGTACTTTACCCCCATTATTCTGTAGGAGTCCGGCTTTTCACCACAACTTCCGTTTTTAGTTAATCATTTGACAAATGCCAACCTGACTAAAAGAAAGTACGGTCATTAGCAAAATCATGAAGATTCAGGATGGTACAAATTAAAAATGAAGTTCAAAAATTCCACAGAGATCACTGTTTTCGTTTATCCTCCACATTTTCTCGAACTCCTCTCTCAGCGTTTGGTATTTCTTGAGCGTCTCATGTTCTTCTTGATGTTGCTGCCCCTTGCTATACCTACAAGTTTTTCCATCTGTATCTGGAGGTCCCACAGGATCTTAGCTTGGTCATTCTCAACCACCCTTGAGGCAATGTATCCCATTTTGACCTCCGGACTTCCAGGTCATACTCAGGACAGATGTTCCAGTATATTATGCCGGTCACTCAGGGTCTTGCCTGTTCTGATAGACCCCAGCCTCTATCAATCCTGTGCTCAGAGCTTTTTCCTGTGCTGCCATGTTTAGTACCTCTGTGCTGTCTTTCAGTCCAGCTTTGTCCAGCCATTGTAGGATTTTTCAATATCAGCTATTTACTTTGCCTTGTTTGGTATCATTCTTTTCAGCACAACCTCACGTGTCTGAATTTACAGTTATGTTTTCATTTTGATATACTGTATTACCACAATTGATCTAAAATCAGACAAAAAACATAAAATCAGAGTAGAAAAAGTTATATTTTTTTACTGTAACAACCACAAACATGTTTAATGAATCATATTTCATAACTTTAAATGCAAATATAAATTGTCAAAATTAAAATCCTATGCACAAGTTTTGCAAACAACAAAGTTATTTGGAGCCATTTACCTTTTACCTTGATTTTTTAAATAACCATTTCAAACTATTTACAGAACAATCAGCTGTTCTGATTCAATAAGATGCCACACAAATTATTTGTGCCACTCCAAAAAAATAATTTCTGTCCACTATATGCCTGCCTGATACCTGCAGGTCTGACAGCAGCAGGTGTATCACTCCTTTTTCTACCTGGAGACAGCAGTCGCCTCATTGTTCTGACACGCAACACTACACAAACACGCTAAACGTCACAAATCTCTCACATCTCAAAACTCGCGCTCTCTCTTTTTCTGCTCTCTCTCTCTCGTTGTCACTTTCCCTGTTTTTTTTTTTGGGGGGGGGGGGGGTTGGGGGGGGGTGCTTGCTAGCTCTGTCCTTAGACAGTAAACGTCACAAAACTATTGAGGAAAAAACACCGCGTTTACTGTTTATCATGACTCTGGTTTTACGTGGCCTATCAACACAATTTAAAAACTGGTATATATCACCTTGTTGCTTTGTCATCATTTTCTTGTTAGTAACTGTAACTGCGTTGTAACGATAGGAATACTAATTAGTTAGATTATTCATTACTGAAAAAAGTAACGCCGTTACTTGTAACGCCGTTATTCCCATCACTGGTGGCTTCTATCTTCTCCTTTGGCCAGCTTATTATCCCAGCAGAGTATCTGATGACTGATTGTATTGATTGCCTGATCTTGTTTTTCTAATTCTCCTGAATTTTTAGGTTCCTCTATATATATATATATATATATATATATATATATATATATATATAAAAACACCCAGCGCGCCCCTGCGGGCGGTTTATCCTTCAAGCTCGGGTCCTCTACCAGAGGCCTGGGAGCTTGAGGGTCCTGCGCAGTATCTTAGCTGTTCCCAGGACTGCGCTCTTCTGGACAGAGATCTCCGATGTTATTCCCGGGATCTGCTGGAGCCACTCGCCTAGCTTGGGAGTCACCGCACCTAGTGCTCCGATTACCACGGGGACCACCGTTACCTTCACCCTCCACATCCTCTCGAGCTCTTCTCTGAGCCCTTGGTATTTCTCCAGCTTCTCGTGTTCCTTCTTCCTGATATTGCTGTCATTCGGAACCGCTACATCGATCACTACGGCCGTCTTCTTCTGTTTGTCTACCACCACTATGTCCGGTTGGTTAGCCACCACCATTTTGTCCGTCTGTATCTGGAAGTCCCACAGGATCTTAGCTCGGTCATTCTCCACCACCCTTGGGGGCATCTCCCATTTTGACCTCGGGACTTCCAGGTTATACTCGGCACAGATGTTCCTGTACACTATGCCGGCCACTTGGTTATGGCGTTCCATGTATGCCTTGCCTGCTAGCATCTTGCACCCTGCTGTTATGTGCTGGATTGTCTCTGGGGCATCTTTACACAGCCTGCACCTGGGGTCTTGCCTGGTGTGATAGACCCCAGCCTCTATGGATCTTGTACTCAGAGCTTGTTCTTGTGCTGCCATGATTAGTGCCTCTGTGCTGTCTTTCAGTCCAGCTTTGTCCAGCCACTGGTAGGATTTCTGGATATCAGCCACCTCCTCTATCTGCCGGTGGTACATACCGTGCAGGGGCCTGTCCTTCCATGATGGTTCCTCGTCTCCCTCCTCTTTCTTGGGTTTCTGCTGCCTGAGGTATTCACTGAGCACTCGGTCAGTTGGGGCCATCTTCCCAATGTA